ATAACTCTACTCAGAAGGTCCCTAGGCCAATGAAATCACAGGCCTATTCTCAATCCTTAATGCACTTAAGTAACTTCATACACATTCAAATCAGTACAGCCTAACAGATAAAATTTCGGACTTGACTTGGTCAGGACCTGGGTTCAAATTCCTCCTTAGACACTTACTACTTGTGCATCCCTGGGCAAGTTATCTAATCTCTTTGATCCTATGAACCTCTTTACAAAATGAGGTTACTGTGTGACTTACACAAGATAATGTATGTAAAGTGTCATATAGATGTTAACTATTATTATATTCTTTATAACCTATAATTTGCCAATATTTAGTTACTGCTAGCAGAATAACCCCTAGGGAAAAGATGATCATCAAATTTCCATTGGCTCCCATTTCTTTGAAACTTCATTTTCTTCAACTGGAAAACAAGGCGAGCTAAACTAGATGGCTTCTCACGTCCTTCCAGATCGAGGTCCAGGAGTCTGTGACTGATTGATCATTCCTACTGTCTGCCATACCACATAACTGTTCTTAGTAGGTCCTTTGAAGAAACTCTTGCTGATTCAAAAAATGAATCTTAGCTAATAGAAACTAGTCTTAGACACAATGGATACAGCTTGTTTTTTTAGGTTTGTCTGAAAACAGCATCTGAATATTTATGAGGCAGGGTTTATGTTGAGAAAAGTCTAAACTACTTTGTTTGAAAAGTTTTAGTCATTCAGTCAACAAGTACCTATACTGAGTAAATTCAGGGTGTATAGTACTAGAGTAATGGTCACTTGAGTTATCTAGTAATGACTTAGCAAAGTCCCTTCTTTTAAGGATATGACAAATTTAAAAAGGAAAATAAGGTCAAAAAGCTGATAAATATGAAAATTATATAAGTATGTTTAGATAAGGGGATTGTATTGATGCACAAAAGAACTAGCAGAAAAGTGGGGATCAAACTGGTCAATGAAAGCTTCCTAAAGGGGGAAGGATGTGAATTTTGAAATAAGAAAGACAGGGATAAGTTTCAGTGGAAAAAGGAGGGAATTTTTAGTAGGTTGGGTAAGACTTGGAAAAGTCTTGGAAAAGAAGGAAAGGCTGGCTAGTTGAAGGATGTGGTTTAGGCACATAAAAGAAGAGAGAAGGTGCTAGCTAGCACAGAATAGTAAAGGCCACTGCCAAAATTTAATTTGGAAGGAAATAGGGGTACTTTTAAGATAGCAGTTCTTAGCCTTTTTTGTGTTTTGTGTCATGGACACAGTCTCGTGTAGCTGATGAACTCCTCAGAAAAATATTTTTAAATACATAAAATAAAATACATGAGATTACAAAGGAAACCAATTATACTGAAATATAGTTATCAAAATATAGTGAAAGCAAATGTGAAAAACCAAGTTCATAGACCTCAGGTTAAGAGATTTAGCAGATGTAATTGAAGTGGCAGGCATGGAAATGATTTTAGCTATACTTTGTAGAAAAAAATTAAAGTCACTGAAGGTGGACAAAAAAAATTAAATTAGTCCAAGAACAAAAAGGGATTTGGTAGGGGGCACAGAAAGAAACAAAAAGTTGAGGTCTTTGTTACTATTAACGAGTCACCAGAAATAAGACACTTAGCTTAGGAAATTTTTTTTAAAGAACAATATTAATTCATTTAAATCACAAAACTAGTTCAAACTCTGTAATTCACATGAAGAACAAGACCATTCATTTTCTTTCTTTAGTATTTTAACATGTGCCACTATTTTAGGTGATTAGAATGAATTAAAAAAATTTTAATTCTGTGGTGACATGAAAATGATGAAGATGTTGGATTGGGTGGTGGTTGGAATGGAGTGTCATAAAAAGATCTCAGGAAGCAAAGCCAGTCTTCATTTATGTATTTTAAAGGAATGGAGGAAATGAAGTATATAATCAAGGTTGTATAACATCATTCCAAATGTGGAGTGTTTTTTAATTCGGATTGTAGCTTTATGTACTCTAAGTTTCCTGAAAACTCCCCCAAGTATATAGAAATATTGGACTTGGAGGTAGGAAAGACCTAGATTCAAACTCTGGTTCTGATGCTTACTAATTACACATCCTGGACAAATTATTTTACCTCTCTGAGCCTCACTTTCCTCTTTTGAAAAATGTGGATACTAATAATTACCTAATAGAGTTGTTGGGAGGAAAACTTTGTAATCCTTAAAGCACTATATAAATGTGTTAATTTTTTTAATGGTAAAGTGATTCTAATTGATGCATGTGAATTCTATGGATTACAATGACATAAATATTCAAGAAATGGGCAATCTAGAAATAAATCTAAATGCTAACACTGAAATGTTAAAAATGTGTGATGTGATTTCATTTATACTTTCGTTCCCTCTAAGACAGATGTTTGATAACCTATTACTTAAAATTGCATACACATATAAGATATCTCCTTTATTATAATTTTCTAGCTTTATTTTCTCCTTTCTAAAAAAGAGGGAAAACCTATACAAAGATGTACAAGATGCCCTGAGCCTCTTCATATAATAGCATTATAAGGGTCATTTTCACACTCATATCTTCCATTACTACACAGAGTGACACTTTGGGGGTAAACCAAGGCTGTACATTACCCAGTAAGGGCACAGACAGACTCTTGGGAACATGACAATTCTATGCCTGCCCGTTTGCTGTTTTCACAACATTGTAGATGGAATAAACTACTAAGGTCCCTTCAAGGAGGATCTAATTGACCCCACCCTGTATCTACACAGGTGGAATTCTGTTCTCTAGCTAATGAGAGATGTACTCTGATTCAGATTGAACTGTAAAGGTGCCAAATGGACTCAAGAAAAGGAAACAATTAAAAGGTAAATTTCAAGGGGCAGCATTATCAAACTTTTCAACTGCAATAAAACAGAGTAGTATGATTTTGATTTTAGTTGATCCATATTACGGATGTTTCATAAAAGAGCATAATAAGGACTATGTTTTCTTATTAAATGACATGTAACACTGCTCCATGCAAGAGGAATCAATCAACATAATAGAGATTTCTTATAAATTCTAGTTATAAAGGAGGTGGAGATGATGATTACTTGTAATTTTGAAATATTCCTACCAGAAAATTAATTTTATGGCTACCTTCTGTCATAAAAACCACCTATGTAAAATAATCTCAAATGGAACACGGAAATGTTGCCTTAAAATCATCTGGTGATTTTAATGCTGAGTTGTCTTCATCATATTTATCTCCTTTACCAATATGAATGGATTTGAATGTTTACATTGTTAAATGAACAAAGGAATTTATTTTTCTGGGATCAGTCTCACCAAATCTACTTGTCATGCCGGGTTGATGTGATAAGCATATCACTACTTCTGTGTTAAGTAATTAGTTGTTTAGATCAGTGGTGCCAAAGTCAAATAGAAACAGATCCCTACAGTCCACATGTTGACTGAGAAAACCACAAATTAACATGATCTATGTTGTATTGCATTTTTATTTATTTTGTTAAGCATTTCCCAATGACATTTTCATTTGGTTCAGGCAGAAGTGGGACCGAATGGATATTCCTTGTTATCTGTAGATTGTAGTCTAGAGCAATTTCACTGAATATGCCCCTTTAAGTTACATCAGAGCAGGTGAAATAAGGTTCTATGGGGTCTTCTTAGAACTTAGAGATTGGTCTAAATAATACTGGTCTAATAATAATAATAATAAATAACAAACTGGTCTAATAATAATAATAACTAACACTACTAAGAAGACCAGAATGTTAAAAATAACATGATGAGTTCTAATTTGCACTTGCCAAGGGTTACAAGCAGAGGAAAAGCGGTGAATGCAGATTGTGACCACCTGCATGTGTCATGCTCTATTACTGTAAAGCTCTCTCATGTCTAAAATGTGGTTCTTAACCCTATTGTAAGTTATGAAATTTTAAATTTCCCAAAGCAAGGCATTAACTATTTATCAGAATTCTTATAATTCTTGTATTATATAACAGAATGTGTGGCATGTCATACTTTAATAATGTATTAAGGCAAAAAGCAAAATATGCTCAAGGCTTATTAACTAAGGAAGACTAAGAAGAGTTGCAATTGTAAACCTAGTTCCTTTAGCTATTTTTTCTTGCTGAAAAATAGTAGCTTCCTTAAATTAAGATGTAACTAAAATTTTATTGTAAAGTAATTATTTTTTTCTGATGGTATTAATGTGATGGTCATCTCTTAGGGCAGCCGGAACTCCCTATTTGGTTTATTCTCCCTTCTGAACTCTTTAATGTTTTTAAACAATTTTAAAATCAGATATGTTCCTCACTACTGCTTAATATTGTAATGTATTAGGCCAAACACTTGCCACTGACAGTCAAGTATCTTTCTGATGGAAATGAAAAGGCAGCAAGAGATAGAATAGGGGAAAGAACTAGCAATGCCCTTTGAGTAGGACTGTTTCTGCAGCTGTTGTGTACATTAATCCAGGGAGCAGATCTCTCAATACTAAATTTAGCAAGACATATCCTTTTACATGATAAAAAAATTAAAATGAAAATCTTAACTATGTAGTCATTATTTTAGGTTTACTTTTCTTTAAGAAGGAAATGGATGTTCTACTGGAATACTGTTTTACACAATTACTTGAATAGGTGGTTGAAAATGACTAAATAATACCAAATATATATACACACAGAAATATGTATACATGTATACATAAAAAATATATATAATATGTATATATGTTACCTGTAACAATTTCATTCTGATTATTTTTTTCTCCCTTAGGCCCCAAATAGGTACTAACTTTCAAGAGGTTGGGAAGGGGGGGTGACAATAACCCTCTCCAAACTTATTCTGAAGAACATTTGTTTTCTTTTTTGTGCTACTGTCTGTGATACAACACATCTATTTAGAAAAATATTCACTCTAGAAATCTATCTTATCAACAGTAATTAATATTCTGAAATACTCCTTCATCCACTGTCAGTGCTCTGTGGAGTGTTATCAAAACATATTTGTGAACTAAGTCCAAATATTACCTTTCTTTTTTTTAATTGACCCAGATGAGAATCTCCAGCCCTGGTGTTCCACAGCGATGCCAATTATCCTGGAGAACTTGAAGATGAAATGACACGAGAAACATGGGAAGTCTTCACGTCCTTGGACACAGAAAGTAGCCGTCCATAAAGAGCGAGGAGTTAACAACCTTAGTTTCAGTGAAGATGGCTGCAAGAAGCTGGACAACCTGTCACCACCGAAGCCAGAGCATTTGTCAGTTCGCAGGTCCCAAGCTATTTTGAGCTGTATAAACCATGTGCCTGTGAAACATTCCACCTGATTGGGCAGAAGAACACTGAGCAAAGGGATTCCATTGCAGATCAGCACCTATGGGCACTGAATTTTTCTAACTGTAGAATTTCACCTAAAGACAGATGCTCAAAGAGTATATTATTAATTCACCTTTGGGACAATGCTCAAGGCACAGGCATAATACATTTTGTCAAAATAAAAAACACTTATTTAAAAACAAATATAAAAATGTAGACTTTTGTTTATTATGAATTCTGTTCATAACTTTCAAGAGTTTGACTTTTCACATTTAACCACCTATACATTTTAAGAACCCAACAAGTCATAAGCCTGCAAAGCTGATATAAGGTTGTGGCATATCATTTTATAGATAGAAGTATTCCTGAGTTGTCCGAATACCAAAAAGGGTGAGAAGGCTGACATTAAAAGAAATGAATGAACAATCTCCCAAAAGGAAGAGAAAAAACAACCAACCTGAGAAATACAAGAATGTAATATGAATAGTTGAGAAAGACTGTTTTGGGCACCGTTTCAAAGCCCAAATGCTTCATGTTTTCAAATATGGGTTTAGAGTATACAGCTCTCATTCATGTCTATTAAAACCTGATATCATATTTTAGGAAACTGCTTTAAAAGCAAAGAAAGCAGATGTCTCCTAACATTTTTTTAACAAACCTAGCAAGAAAAAAAACGTTTACCTAGTCTAATCACCTCCCAAATATCTACTTTGTCAAAGTACAGATTTTTAGATTATATTGTTTTTACAGTTTAATGCTTCAAGTATGCGATCCTATGGGTAAGGGTATTCATTCCACTAATTGAGGTCTTAGCCCCTCTACAATTTAGTCTGCCTTTGAGAGTTACCCTGAAGCTACTGGTTATAATACATACTTCCAAAAACATAAGCCTTATGCTGCTAACTTTAGAATACTTGGTTTTATAATAGATCATGGACCACAGAAACATTGTTCATCTTAGTGAATGCCCAAGATTTGGAAACTTCAGATTTAAAGACTACCAACAGGGCAGTTAGGTGACGCAGTAGATAGAGCACCGGTACTGAAGTCAGGAGGACCTGAGTTCAAATCTGGCCTCAGACCAAAGACTTGACATTTACTAGCTATGTGACACTGGGCAAGTCACTTAACTCCAATTGCCTAAAAAAAAAAAAAAGAAAAAAAAAGACTACCGACTAGTTGACTCACCCTAAAAGAAGCATTCTCTTATTTCTTTTTAGCATGCAAATCTAGTTTTCTTATTGAAATCAACATATTTTCTTTTGGTATAAATTTTCCAATTTTAGTAAAAAGTTCTTAATCTATTTGAAGTTACCTTGAGATTGTTATCCCTAGAACCTTGGATAGAAACCAAATGTTTACTTACTAAAGTTAACTACTGTGATAAAATTTTTATTATAGATTTCCACGTCTACATAGGCAAAATAAAAGGGAAAGCTAAGAAAGTCATGCCAAACTGTGAAGGAGGGGTTGTGTTTTGCTTTAATTATATAAATTCGCTGTCTTTATTAATTATGTTATTCAGATAACCAACTTCTATTTTTTCTTAACTTCTCTTCAACATTTTACAATTCTGAAAAATCAATATACTTTGGGCATTTTCTAGACTTGTTCTATTTTCTGTTTTTAATAGGAGGTGTGGCTTCTCATAAGGTATCCTTTTTTTGAGGGATGTGTGGGGGAGAAGCATCCTTACTTTCTCCAATTTCTGGGTATGGTGCCAGTGGTTGGAGGGTTGGTCACCATGTGCTGCCAGAATATACAACTCTCAAAAGAGATACCTCCTAAGACTTGGGTAGGGCTGAGGGAAGGTACTGGAGCATAGCTGGGATGATTCTCTTATTCAACAGCTATGCTATAGATGGCTCCCCTGAAAGGACAAGCCTATTCTCATACATACATTATAAATTAACATAGAATTTATTAGAGCTGACTCTGGTATGACAGTTATATTCTCCTTTCCGTCTAGGCATAGGATACTGATGTGAAAACTGACCTGTACTATAAAAGAGAATAAAATGTATAGCATAGTGGAATTGAGGAACAAATGTGGAAAAAGTTAAAATCATTTTAGAAATCAAGATAAATGTTATAGAAAAGACCCCAAGAAGTACTTTTACTAATATTTGACTTTTCACTATTGTGTTTTAACATACATTACTGTACAAGAAGTTTTCTGACATAGTACCATGAAATTTCTGAGAAAAGATATAACAAATTTTAGAAATCATAAACCCAAATCAACTAATACAGCAATAAAGGATGTCTTTTCAAAGAAACTGTAGATCCACATTTTAGATCACAACTTTTATTTATTATTTTCTACTCAGAAGTGCATAATTCCTCTTGTAATTCAATAACTGATACAAACATGATGCCACTATTCTCTGCCTTCCATTTTTTACTAGGGCATAGGGGTAAAAAAAGTTAATCTTAGAAATGTTTTTCTTCATTATTCCACAGGTAAAAAGCAAATCTTTTTTGAGGGAGAGAGAAGCATACGAATGCAAACCTTTGAGCCTGAGTGGGTCCTGAGCTTGCCTTTCAGCTGTTTTCTCAGCTACAGAAACAATTGACTTAGGTTGAGATGATCCCTAGGAATGCCAAGGAATCAGAAGATCTGTGGCTAAGGAAGTCTTCATTTGGCTGGGAAGCATTTGGAATAATGTGCTATTAAAGTTGATTTATTTTCTGGATTTTCTGTTTTTTTTTTCCAATCCCTGCTATATTTTAATTTTCTAAAAGTGCTTTCCATGAACAGAAGTTTTTATATGCTGAACCTGAAATGCTCAAGGAGTTTTGTTGCCACAACTTCTAGCTCAGGGGCAAAAATGATCCCTGCGTTTTCTTTCTGTGCATGAAGGACAAGTATCTGCTTAAGCTATGTAACAGTGTTTTCTAAAATAAAATGCTCAAAGCAATTTGGTCGTTTAAATTCATAAGGGAATCTATTACTGAAAATTTCTCAAAAGAGAAAATTCCACATTACAGGTTAGTACTTGGCTTTCTAAAGTTAGGTTTCCCAGAAGTAGATTATAGGTTTTACAATTTTCTAGAAAACAACATATTATTTTAAAAATATAACTAATCAGGATGATATAATTTTACTAATTTCTTGAAACTATTAAATGTATTTACAATTATTTGGAAAACATGCAATAATAGTTAACATTTATACAGCATTTTAAAATTTACAAAGCTCTTACATCTAGTATCTCATTTGACAATAGAGAAGCTTAACTGAATTGTAAAGAAAACATTTGGCTTGGGAAAATAAGCATTTAGAAAAATATTCACATTCGAATTTTTAAAAAGCAAATAAAAAAAATATATCCTAAAATGTTGATAGATATAAAATTGTGGTTACCTCTTTTGGCGGCAGTACCATTCCTTTCCCAACCAGCAAATTTACTGATCCAAGTCTAACTGTTTAGCTTGTATGCTGTACAAAAGTAACATTAAAGAAATTTGATACTGTCAAGTAACAAGGGATGTTTACAGGATTTCATTGCAGATACAAGGAACAGTCGTTTAGAACAAGCTGCTCTTTGAAAGTAACTTTAATTTCTTGATCTGCAACAAATGGAGACAAAACACCCACATGTGATCCACAAAAGCAGGAAGACTCAAAAAACGCTTGTTGAATGATTGAATGAGAATAATGATAACAGAAACAGCCTTGTGCGAACTATCCCAGGAAGAAAGGAAATATTAGAAGGAAAAATTCTAGAGAAAAAAAGATATTCACAAAGGGACATGGCAGTGAATGTTGGTAGAACGTATGTAAATCTGGGCTTGTACTGAATTTGGTACAGTACTAAATGTGAAGTAGATGCTGAGCAAATGTGAAAAAAAAATGACAATTAGGACATTTCCAAGGAAATTTTATAAGCTTTGCCAGTTTGTTTCTAGAAGAAGAAAAGTCCTTTTATTCCTTTTAACTTTGGTTACTGGTTCGTTCTTCTGCTCTAGGTTCCTAAGGCTGAGTATTCTTCAAGGCTCAGCCCTTGGGTCTCCTTTCCTATCTCTTTACACTATCTACTTGGATGAGCTCATCCACTCCCACTATCTCAATACAGATGACTCTCAAATCTCCATCTCCTGCCCCAATTTCTCCCCTGAGCTCCAGTTCTGCATTCCCAACTCTTTGCCAAACCTTTCTATTATCCCCCAGTACCTCAAAAACTCAAAATGTCATAAGCTGAATTCATCACCTCCCTCAAACATATCCCTCTTCCCAACTTTTCTATTTCTGTTGGGGTTGCCATGATCTTCCCAGTCATCCACAAATGCAACTATGGCCTGACAGGGATGACTGAATCCAGAAGACCCTTGAAGGAATACTCTCCATGGTCACCTTGGCATGTAAGGGCTACTCAGGGCTGCCCCAAAAAGAAACTGAAGTTTTGGGGAATCAGGTTGAGATATACTAATGGTCATCTGCCTGATACTCTTTATATTTTGGCTTCCTGGTTTTCATAGGTACCCCACAGTCTCTGAATATACCTAGTATAGTTTTACCACCCATCTGAGCTTTTGGATCTTAGTGTTAATGCAGATACCTGCAATGACCCCTGCCTTGCTTTCTGGTTTCTGACTATTCTCTCAGCTTAGACCCCTTGACTTCCTGGCCTCCATAATCCTAGGCTGGGATTGCCCTTCTCCCCACCTGGAATAACTGTCACATGTTGGTTCTGCATTGGGTAATAACCCATAATGGAAATCTTCTCTTAACAATCAATCAGTTGTCAAGTTCTGTAGCTTATAT